AGCAATGATTATTTTTTTCTGTTTCTATAATTTTGACTACTCTAGATACCTTGTATAAGTGGAATTGTACAGTATTTGTCATTTTGTGATTGGCTTATTAACTTAGCACAATGTCCTTAGGGTTCATCCATGTTGTACTATGTGTCAGAATCTCCTTCTTTTTCAAGGCTGAATAATATTCCCTTGTGAGTATATACCACAATTTGCTTATCCGTTCATTTGTCAATGGATATTCGGTTGCTTCTAACTTTTGGTATTATGAATAACGTTACTAGGAACATGGATGTACAAATAGCTCTTTGAGCCCCTGCTTTCAATTCTTTTAGGTACATACCTAGAAACAGAATCATATGGTATTTTTAATTTTTTGAGAAATGGCCATACTATTTTCCATAGCAGCTGTGCAATTTTTTGTAATAGAGATGGGGTCTTGCTATGTTGCCCAGGTTGATCTTGAACTCCTGGGCTCAAGCAATCCTCCTGCTTCAGCCTCCTAAAGTGCTGGAATTACAGGTGTGAGTCACTGTGCCTGGCCCACAACTTTACATTCTCACCCACAGTGCACCAGGATTCTACTTTCTCCATATCCTTACCTACACTTGTTATTTTCTGTTTTATTAATAGTAGTCATCCTTATGGATATGAGGTGGTATCTTATTGTGGCTTTCATTTGCATTTTCCTATGACTAATGATGTTGAGCATCTTTTCACGCGCTGTGGGTCATTTGGGTATCTTCTTTAGAGAAATGTCTATTTAAATCTTTTGCCCATTTTTAAATAGGGGTGGTTTTTTTTTGTTTATTGTTTCTGCTTAAATCTTTTCTTTGCAATCAGTGAATCAAATCCTCACTCTCTTATCTTTAATATTCTGTCACCAAGAAGTGTCGAGAGTGATGCTCTCCTACTTAGAAACACTTAGCAATAGAATGAATGTTATTCTCAAGAAACCTTTAAGTTGGAAAGGCAGCATTTTATTATAAATCTCAGATTACTAATGCTGCCCAGTTCTCCAAGAAGTTCGATATGTATGAAGTCTTACATAAAGAGATTATTATTTATATTATCCATCTCATTCATGTCAGTTCAACAACATTGACAAAATGTCTACTACATAGCAGGCATTGTGCCAAAGATACATTAGAGTTCAAGGAAAATAGACACAAAATATTTTAACTTTTTTTTTTTTTTTTTTTTTGACAAGGTCTCTTGCTCTGTTGCCCAGGCTGGAGTGCAGTGGGACAGTACCAGCTGACTGCAACCTCTGCCTCCTGGGTTCATGTGATTCTCATGCCTCAGCCTCCTGAGTAGCTGGGATTACATGCATGTGTGACCATGCCTGGCTAATAGTTTTGTTTTTTTTAGTAGAGTTGGGGTTCACCATGTTGGCCAGGCTGGTCTCGAACTCCCGACCTCCAGTGATTAGCCCACCTCAGCCTCCCAACGTGCTGGGATTACAGGCATGAGCCACTTTGCCTGGCCTATTTTAACTCCTTTGACCCAACCCATAAACTAGACTCTGGCCCACTAGTTTTGGAAATACATATATATTCTTGAATGAGGAGTTAAAAGCTCCAGAGCACTTCTGATCTTTCCTGCCAGGTGTGCCCCTTCTGAAGGAGAAAGTATGAATCCTTAGGTAAGCTTGATCTTGGGGTTGGGCCTCTCACCCTACCCAGGTGAAAAGCATACTCCATCTGAAAAATCTGGAATTAAAAAAAAAAAAATTCTTGGTAAGGCTTTGGAGAGACTTCCCTACACAAGGCTATCAATTCTGCTTTTAAATAGGCTATAGTTCATTCAGAAAAAAACTTCTGGTTGCAACTTGTTAAATCATATACAAAAATCTCAACAAGTTTTAAAAATATGAAGAGCAAGCCACGGAATTTTCTTCATTGGTACACATATTTGCCAGACAATCAGAGTCTCCTATCTATACATACTCTCCATATATTTTTGGGCCGTAAGTCTGTGCATAAACCAAAACTCCCAAGAAGTTATTGTATTCGAAATTATTCTTAATATCCGGAGCCTGCATTAGGAACAAGGTATACTTCCATAGGCTAAGGAGATGGTATGCTAGGCTCTTGGCCTCACAGTGTTCCTACTGGAAAGGTCCCTGAAGATTACCTAGTCAGATCACCCTGGTGTAACACAAGGAAACCGAGACCCAGAAAGGGGATTGTTTCACCAGTGGCACAGGCACCAGGTGTTCAGACTCTGCATACGGCTCATTCTATGCCCTAGTTCCTTTTCCCCACGAATGCTTTTTCTGTGATGCTTCTTGATGCTATATTTTCCTATTTATTGCTGAAAATCCTCGTAATATATACTTGAGTGCCTTAAATAAAAGGCTCCGTGTTAATAAGATTCTAGAATTCAAGTCAAGAAAAACTGTTGCTAGAACAAGGACCAGACAGCCAGCTTCTAGAGAAAGTGCTTCCAGATGCCTCTGAATGACTCTTCAGATTTGAGAACGAAGGCCTTTCTAGAGAAGGAAAACCTTTAAACTCCTTCTTAGTCTGAGCCTGGTCAGGCCCCCTGTCTAAAATTCCCCCCAAATGTGTGGGGTACTTTGTTTTGTATTAAACAGGATTAAGTTACACTAACGTGCTTTGGATTAAGGCCTTGACATCAACCCAAACACATCTAGGTGCATAGAACAACCAAAAAGTGACTTTCACGCAGAATTTAAGGTCAAAGTTTAGGCAGAAGTGACTGATAAGAATAAAAGCCTAGATAACCCCCAGGAGAAGAGTGAAGCCCAGGCACACCCCGGAATCGTGACACTTACTGCCACCGTACATCTGGAGGTACTGCATGACTAACAGTACAGTCTATTTTTTTCAGGAAGGTTATAAAAATCTATGGGCTTCACACTGCGTGTAATGTGGGTGAGGTAACAAGCTGGCGAGAATTTTTGCTTCTGCATTTCCTGATTTAGGAAAGAGGAGTGGTAGGGGTGTAAAAGGTGTATTATGCCTATTACTGAATTTGTACGTATTTGGTCCAATATTGGTTGCTTGAGCGAAAGTTACTCTCCTACACTGAACATGGAACCCCTTCCAAATCTTGTTCAGGTCCTCAAAGAATCAATGAAACCATTTTCCCTTTCTGATAAATCCGGTTGTGTTGTATCTAGTTGTGTGGATCCATAAATTAAAATACAGAGGGTCATTTTCTCTGATCCAAAAATTCTTGGTTTGGGGGTAGTTAAAATGAAACTTCTGAAATTTTATCCTTAGTACGGACATTGAGGACCCTGGGGCTACATCCTAGAATGTAATTGTGCCCTCTTTCCATAAAACAGTTGATAAACCAACAGACACGACTGGATTGTCTTAAACCAAGTTCAACTGTCATTCCATTTTAATCAAAAAGTAAACTGGATTCAGCATGTATGAATATATTGACTATCAGTACAACTGAGCCATGCAACTGATAGTCTAAGGCTGATGACAAGGAGAAAGCTCCTAAAACAAGGTTTAGGGAAGGCGGTTCCCCTCTAAGCAAAGTGGGCTGAGGGTATTGGTAGTGCAACCGCCTGCAGAAGTAGAGGGAAGTTTTGATATATCAAGTACCGAGGGGAACACACACAGCATGTCTGGAAACCATCAGAAGATGCTAGAAGGAAGTACAGATAATTCTAGAAATTTCTAGAACACCGACTGGAGGGGGTCATTGTTTAAGATGAGTAAAGGCCAGTTTCTCTACAATTTAAGACACGAGACTGGAGAGAAAGGAGTCGTAGGAAACAGCTCCAACCAGGGGAGCAGGGGTGTGATAATGAGATGTGTTAAGGGGCATTAGGGACAGCAAGAATAGGAGAGTTGGGGTGATGATTATTGAGCACTGCTATAGGAGGAGGCTCTCACAGGGATAACCAAGGGAGAGGGGTGTGAAGTAAGGGTCAGGGATTGTAGGGGTAAACTGTGGGAAGGGGTTGCGCAGACTTCAACAGCAAAGAAAAAGAAGGAACGGGGCTGGGGCGTGGCCCAGAGAGGGAACGGCTCAATAACGGGCTGCGGGGTGAAAAGCAGCCGGGTGGGGAGGCGCTCGGCTGACAGCTGCTGCTCCCGCACGGCGCCCACAGGGTTAAAAACCAGGGGCCACGGGACCAGGCCGAACTCGGTTTCCAGGGCAACGGCTCCACAGTTCCGGCAGCGCAGGCCCG